CGCTTCTCCTCTCCCATCCTTCTACTCTCCGTCTTTCTCATACCCAACTTCCATATTCAATCTCTCTTCTACTCACCATATTCAATTTCTCTTCTACTCACCTCATACTTAACTTCTCTTTTTTTTCCTCAACTTTCTCTTTTCCTCACCCCACCCCTATATCCAACTCCTCTCTTCCTCACCCTACCCCTATACTTGTAACATCCTTTATTTATTTAAATAATTTTTCTCTAAAGAAAAATAGAAATATCAATATAATGTGATTAAAATAAGTAAAAGATAAATAAATAGAAAGGATTTTCATGTGTAAAATCTGAATCATGAAAATGAGCAAAACTTTAAAACTTCATACATATAAATCTCGTTCGTAATAGAACTAAGGTTATAATTTTGAGATTATCAATTTAAAATTACAGGAAAGCTAAAATTTCTATATTGACAATTGATTACTAAATATTAGACATATGTTTTGAATCATCATTTACAATAGATTTATAAAAATACTCCAGCTCTTATTGGAAACTTAATCAATATAATTACATTCTTCAGACTAACCGGTCCTAACAGAGCAGTCCCTTTCCTACCATCCCTTACAAGTATGATCTTATCTTCTTTACCTAAAAATATTTGTAAGGGTGAGTATCCCTCGCCCCACAAAATTCTTATTTCATAAAATAAAAATAAAGCAGAAACATATCTGATGCAACATATACCAAATAGTCATATCCACTTTTAACAATTTTAACCAAACAATATTATTCATATATATCATTCATCATTTAATCATACACATTTCATTTCTTATTTATTCAAACAATAGTTACCCATGCATCTTATTTCACACTTAATCAGACATCATTATCCAATCTAATTCAATATATGAACCTATACCATTGACTTATTCATACAATTTTCAATCAAATGAAAGTTATCCACACACATTACTTCATATTATACCAACATCCATTCATCACTAAATCAATTAATGTCCATTTTCTCAACTCATGTCATTTTAATCATTCCAATTCCAAAATATTGATCAAATAAGAGTATTTCTAGGTACTCACGGGCCCCCAAATTGCTGCTAACGTATTCTCCTTAGTTAGGAAGGACTTACATAGCATGAATAGTTGCTGGTCAGCTAAACCATATACGAATACAATGTGCGCGTTCACAGCCTTCCAGACAAAGGTATAGTTAGGAGTTCGGTCAAAAAATGAATGTAAAGCTTGTAAATGCATCTCATTTTTACATCGTGTACACATCAGTGAACTGCATTTACTACTCTTATTTTTCACATATTTTCATAATCAACTCCAGAACCTATACCCCCAGTGTATTCCTGAACTATCTATACAGTATCTCAACAGTGGCACATTAAGTTATACTATTCTAATACATATGTTGCAAACACACTAATCAATATACTACAATATATGTGTTATAATCTCACTCGTCGAGTATTACAACACATATATCATAATCGCACCAATCAATGCATTTGTGACTCACGTACTAGTATCTCTTTCTTTTCTCCACACATATTCATCACTTTTCATATCACACAATTCCCTTTTCTTTGGATAACATATAAAATCTCCAATCCACATACTTGATCTCATTCACATTTTCACTTTTCACATGATCAATTTTTATACTTTCTCAGATATTCTCAAACAATCATACTTATTCAAACTTAACCCAAGTCACGCATATAGGATACAATACCTTTTATATCACTGTCACAATACAACAAACTTCTCAATTATGCATATAATCACAAGGCAAGCACATATCATCACAAGTTCAATACAATCATAAGGTTTTGTCATTTCAGCACATATTCACGAGACAGTAACATATTATCACACAATTCCATACAATATGTCGAGGGTCGGACACTCTCGAACTCAACCCAAATCGTGCAATCCAGAATATACTACCGAAGATCACATTCTCTCGATCTTAATAGAATCTTCTAGCTTAAAGTTCAACATATTCCACTTTTTTACCATTCAACACATATATTATATATAAAAAAAATAGTAACTTATCCATAAAACTTTTTAACTCATTTTTACTCGTGACTATTTATGATAAACTTCATCTCAAGTGATTTTAAACGGATCAAAACCTCTTATACAAAAAATCCATTTCAAATTTACATAGGTTCAAGAAAACTTTATGGATTTACTTTTTAAAATAAGATAGTCCTCTTCTCTCAAGATTAATAAACATATTTAGGTACAACCTCTTATTCAAGACTCCCCTTACCTGAAAATGGATCTTAAGAACTAAATTCTTTGTGGGCTCTAGAGGGAAACTCCATGTCTCGACCAAAAATACTACCCAAGGATTAGAGTTCTTCCTAACATCACAAGGTATATTACTATTATAAAAGAGAAAACAAAGAAATAGAAACGAGATTCAAGGGATAAACTCTAAAAACTTACTTAGATTCGAGTGGAATGGACATTTGAGCTCAGATCCAAGAGAGATCGAAAGTTATTGGAGATTTTCTCTAGAAAGGGAGAGGGAGAGAACAAACAGAATCGAGAGGGAAATATGATTTGGTTAAAAATTGTAGTTTTTATGATAAAAGTTCTTTAAATATCTCATAAACTCGTGATTTTCTTGCTACAACGAAAAACCAGACAATATTCTTCCTTTGTTACTTTCCTCTTCTTCTTCTCATATTCAACTCCTCTAATCTCTTTTCCCTTATACCCATTTAGACCTTTTTTCTCCACATCAAATCTCATCTCTTCTTTCTCATAAAAAACATGTGAAATTCGCTTAAGTAGATTTTGTATAATTTTTTTTTGTCAATTTTTTTTTATTTAAGTAAGCTTAATTTTACTTAAACAAAATTAGAATTGGATATGCAATTTTCGCGTTAATAAAAAAGAATCCAACAACAAGTCCTTTACTTACTACTACTAATAATAATTTTATTTTTTCTTTTAAATTTACTTTCGGTGATATTATTGTGTTTAAGTTATTTTTATTATTAATAGTAATAGATTTTTTCTTTAAAATTTACTTTTTTATAACATTTTTTGTTTAAATTATTTTTTATTTGATTTATTATTAGTAGTAGTAAAAGCAGCAAACTTTGTTTTTATATAAACTAATTTACATAATTCATTACTTACATAGAATCAAATTTGAACTACTATTTTAAAATGTAATTAACGTCAACTTTTTTTCAGTTTACCCCGTAAGTATTACCTCGGGCCGAATTGGATCATAACCCAAATTGAAGGCTTGATGGATGTATGTGGAGTTTGGGTATCCTTGGAAAATAAAAATAAAAAATAAAAAATAAAAAAAATATATATAATTATATCAATTTAATATTGAATTTTATTAAAATATTATTTTAATGGTTATATTTTAAAATGCAAAATTATCCTTGGGAGTATCTAAATTTATATATTAAAAAAAACTAACTAACCTGCCCAAACGCCGAACTTTAGCATATCAGATAAAAAAATTAATTTAATATAAACTTATTAAAGTGATAGTCATGCTTAGGAAAAATTTATTTATTTTTGCTTTTACGAATTCTTACAAACTTACTTCCCATCAAACTTAAGTATATCAGATTAAGAAAGTTTTATTTAATTGAAGTTCAAATTTTTAAATTTTATTGTTTTAATTCAATGTGACCCTGCTCAGCCTGGCCCAGCGGAGAGAGAGAGGATCTGGGCGCTTTTTTTTACATGAGAAAAATATATTGAAATATAGTATTTAAGAATCAAATTTAAAAATTTGTATATGACGTCTTTTTAGTATCTTTGATTTTGATTTTTAGAAAACTCACCATTAATAAGATTTGAATTTTTAATTTTTTATTATTTTTTAAAATTCATCATTAATAATTTGATTTTTAATTTTTTTTAAAATATTCTTTTAAAGCTTCATTCTTTCATTTTTAAATTTTTACACCCACACAAAAATTATCATTAATGAATTTTAAAGTTTATATTTTTTATAATTTTTCTAAAAATATTATATTTAATATATATAATTTTTAAATATCATATATAAAAATATAAACTGAAAATCTGAGCTCAGAAAGTCGTCGCATAGGAAGATATTTTTAGTTTCATGTTTATAAAAAAAATTTGCGTAACTTTAAACACACTTGTTGTTTGGATTTTTTTTGTCAAAATAAGAAAAATAAAAAACAATTTTCTAATATAAATTTCGATAAAAATATTTTTTTCTATTTAAATTAAAAGCGGAGTAGAATGAAATTCAGGCAAAATTCCAGTTTTTTTAATAATAGAATTTAGCGATGAGAATGAAACGCACGAATAAGATTTCATTTTTATTTTCTTAAACTTGGAAGTGAGTGGTGTCATCGGCTTTCTCTTCAGCTCCCGTTCCTTTGAGGACACGTGCCGCATTTCAATCAACTCCATCCCAATTACAATCCCAAAATACAAAAATCAAATTTAGAAAAAAAATCTAATTTTTTTTTGTTTCTCTTTTTAAATATAATTTTTATTTTAAAACTAATTTTAAAATTAAACTAAAAACAAATTTTATTTTATTTTCTTATTAAAAATTAAAATATAATTTATAAAATTAAAAATTAAAACAGAAACAAGCAATCCTCTTACTTCACTCTTAATTTGCTCACAGAGAAGAAATTAGAGGACGAAATCGGTAAAGAGACCAAGAAGAAAAATCGAAAGGGAAAGAACGATAAAGTATTCCACTTTGACTAAAATTTTTTAATAAAAAATTATATTTATTTTATTATTATTAAAAAATAAATATCATCTTATAAAAGACGATATTTAAAGTAATGTGATAAAAGTTATTACCGACAAGAAATATGTTTTTATTTAAATTTATTTTAGGAAATTATTTTTTAATTTTTCCTATTTTATTAAAAAAAAAAACTCGAAGCGGTGGCGTGGCGAATGATGAATGGAAACAACCAACCAACAAATAATTATTATATTTTCTGCTGTTGAGTAATGTGAGCTACGATTTCAACTCTTTCCATTTCGACCATCGACCCACACAACACACACCCTGAGAGACGAGAGAACGCAAGTCCAATGAGCAATTTCCACAGAGTATCACACGAAGCTTACCCTCCTCCTCCTCCTCCTCCAGGTACTACTATTGTTCTTCCTCTCAATTCCTATTATTCGATTTTTTCTTCCTTTTTAACGAATTGGTGAATTGAATGTTCATTTATTTAATTAATTAAACGCAGAGTACGGATCGCCTTACCCTCCCCCCCAACCGGGTTACCCATCAGCTGCTCCTCCTCCGCCGCCGCCGAGGCATGGGGGATACCCTCCGCCGCCACCGCCGCCGCATCCACCGCATCAATCGTACCAAGGCTATTTCAACGATGGGTATCCACCACCTCCTCCTCCGCCTCATTCTCATTATCAACACGTGCAGCATCACCATCACGCTGACCCTGGGTGTTCTTTCCTGCGAAGCTGGTATGCTTTCTCTCTCTTTTTATTTATTTATTATTATTATTGCATAAGGAGTTTATACCATAAATTTTATCATAAACCTTATTAACACAAGTTGAAAATAATTTGTTTTGATAAGTTATGTAAAGAAACTCATTGAAATTAGCTGAAGTCATAAGCTCTTTCAAACACACTTTTAGTTAATACCTTGAGAAAATTGTATATTGTTTGCGAACTGGAGTTTTTAAAAGGAATGGGAGGGTAAACAAATTTTTTATTTTTAAATGAAGAAAATTGTATATTGTTTATGACAATAAATAAATAGTTAATACCATAAGTTTATGTTAATTTATTATTTATATAATTGATTTTAAAAAAATATTAAATTAAAATCTGTTTATTCAAAATATGAATTTTGCTCTTTCTTCCTTTTCTTACCAAAATCCTCCTTTCTAAACAACTCCCAATCCATTAGTAGCAGATTTGATGGATTTATTTTGTTTTATGTTAACTTGAACCTAGAAAGGTCAAACCAACATTTGATGGACACCAACATCTGATGATGTGTCACTGTCATATTTAATTGCCATCACTGTGTCAAGACTCATGCCTAAAGGCTAAAAAGTAATTATGAAAAAATTTGAATATTAAAGATTATAACAGAAATTAATTCTTTCAAATGTCAAATATACAGCGATAGAACCATACATATTAATATAATTATATATGCCATTTACTTACTAATTTACTGCACTTTGGTTAATGAGCCTGAGACATTATTAGTTGATAATTTAGTTAAACTTATGATTCTGAATCAAGCTTGGTTCTGGTAGTTTGGATTGTCAACTGGCTTAACAAATTCTTAACCTGGAGTGTAGGCATACAGATGTTTTATGCCTTAAATCCTTAATACGCATAATTCATCATTTAGCTTTTCTGACATATTATTAAAATATTAAAGTCTATAGAATGGTTTATTTCAGCATGAAACATCAACCTCTTTTTCAATAAAATAAAGAATCACATGGAATCTTTTCATAGTTTCAGTATTCTACTTCACCTCATGTTAGTTTTCATGGTACTAATGAAGAGTAAGAATCATCCTTCATTTATTTGTGCAGCTTGGCAGCGCTTTGCTGCTGTTGTGTGCTAGAGGAGTGTTGCTTTTGATAATCACATCACCAAAAGCTGTTTCTTCATTTTGGTGCACTTGGTTACGGCTATCTAGAGAAATGTGGCTTTAACTCTTGATAATAAGTGTGAGAGGTGTAAGTATTGGTCATTACTGTTGGTTGTTGGTCTTTACCCTCTTACCCAAACCCTGGTTTGTGCATAGTTTCTGTGATGTAGTCTATGTGAATTTCATTGTATGAACACTGTATTGAAAATTGTAAACCGTTTCTTATATTGTGTAAAAGCCACTACTATGGTTAAAGTTATGTTACATATCACTTTCATCTTTACACTTCAATATCATTTTCTTTTATACTTGGCATGCAAATTTCAAGTAATTATGAAGGGTCACTTTTATTAGCGGAATGGTAAGGACAATGAAATTAGAAACAGAAAATAAAAGGGCTAGTGGTTAGTGTTTGCTGGGGCCTGTTTTAGATTCCATTTGTCTATAAATGAATATTATATGAGGAGACTGAGAATTATTATACTATGCATTTCATTAGTTCTGGCTTCCTATGCTACCGTTATTATCCAATATTTTCTCAATTTTAAAGATTTGAAGTTGAGTAAGTTTTGAATAATGACAAATAGAAGTTAACTAGATTCACTGATTAATACTTCAACAGGTTCAGTAACTAGCTTTAGGACATGCTTTCCTGAACACTTTGAAGTTGCAGCAACAAAGTTATGAAAGAAACATAGTTACGTAGAAATTTATGTCAAACTTTTGAAATTCTTTTAGTGAAGATAATAGGTGGAAAGTTGAGAATCATAGCTCTGAACAGCTGTAACTAACTAATATTATTCTTGTAACCAAATAGCAGCAGACAATAAATAAGATGAAATCATGGGAGAGCCTGGAGCTCTCAAATCTTCCAGCAACAGTTATTGTTCATTCATCCCTGATTCAGCTACCTCATGGGCTGGGTTAGTTAAGACACTCAGAAGACTGCACATTTGGAAAGTTTCCAATATATTTTTGCAAAATGAAATTCAAACAATATAAAAAATGAAAGAAATAAGACAAGCAGCAGTGTGAATTGATGATTTTCTATTCGTTTTTTCTTTTAAAAAAAATTCCCTAGATCTAGATCTCAATTATGTACTGGTGTTTTATTTATTTATTTATTTATTTAATTTGAATACCTGCATGCCACAAGTATGATTTTTGTTGCACGTCTTTAACATGAGGCTAGTGCAACTCACTTTACCCACAACCTTTCAAGGTTCAAGTGTCTAATGCATGGAATTTAATGTGTTTCTTTTCGAATTGCTGCATGAGTATATTTACAGAGTTTATATAACTCATCAAAAACCTTCAGCAAAATATTTGCTAGTACAAAGTTTGTAGGTAACAATAAAATTGTTAAGTAGGATGCAGAATTTTATCCAAGCAATTTCCTCCTCCTTTCGTTTTTCAACTTGATATCCATTTATAGTCTGCCAAGAATTATTATTGATAATTTTAACCATTGTGACCCAACAAGGATAGATTTCGGAAGGTACTGGTTGTTGAAGTGTTTGTTTCTACATATACAACTTTTAATCTGTACGGGTTTGTCTGTTACTAAACATGAGCGAGAAGATATATTGCTATATAGCTTCTCAGCAAATGTGCAACGTACTAAACTGTAAATTAATAAAGTGGCAAGTAAAAGTATCATCTCAATTCTCATAAAAATTGAAGTTACCCAGCACTAAATAAATAATTGTTTGAATGAAGTTGAATAATACTGAAGGAAGTTCTAAATGAAAATTGACAGAAATGCAATGAACTGGAAATGAAAAGGAATCAGACAAGATAACAAATAATTGCTCAAATGTATATTAGAATGCATAAACCTATTAGGACCGAATTTACTCACTCGTAATTGGATCACAACACTTGCACACACCAATTTTCTCACAAAGAATTATTACACTGGGCCTTCTTGAGGAACCAAACATTTTATTATTCAAAAGTTGGTATTTTTCAATTATAAGATGATTATTTATAAGTTAGTCCCGCACTCCTAAGGGCAATTTTTGTGTTACAACACTCCCCAATTACACTTATTCACCTAACCTACCGTACAAATAACATAATTAACGACTAAACGAGAATATACTAATCTACTTCTAATAGACTCTCCTCCATCAACAAGGCCTTGGCCCAAGGCTATCCTAGAACCTTAAAAAACTAGGAAGTTTCCTATGAGAAATCTGGTATTATTGTATGAGGGAATGGAGTTCTTGTCAAGTTGCATCTTCTAGACTAGTGTGCTTCCACTGAACTAACACCTCGATAACTAGCATGTTTCCACATTTCTTCATTCTTTTGTCCAATATGGCCAAAGGGCGAATCTGGAATTCCCCTTCCTCATTGCAAGAAGGTAGATGTTTTGAAATTGGGTGGTTGCCACGGTGCTTCTTGAGAAGAGACACATGGAACACATTATGCATTCATGCTCCTTTAAGTAATTCCAACCTGTATACTACATTTTCCACCCTTTTTGTTACTAAATATGGTCCGTAATATCGGGCAGCCAACTTATGCATAGAAGTATTAGGCGAGTGTATTTTGAATGGTTGTAACTTCAAATATACCCAATTGTCACAAGCAAATTCTTTGTTTGACCTCCTTTTGTCTGCATACCATTCCATGCATACTTGAGCCCTTTGTAGATTAGTCTACAACAACGGGCCAATATGCTCCCTTGTCTTAAATGTGTAGTCCACCGCTTGCACCAATGAATCACCAACAAGCAAGGGGGTGTTAGTAGTTGGAGGATACCGATATAGTGCCTCAAGGAGCAAGTTGGGTTGTTGAGTAGAATTTTGTATTCTACCAAAATTCTGCTAATGCTAGAAGCTATAACCATTTGGCTAGTATATTCTCAGTAACATAATGCAAGTATCTTTCCAACGCTTTGTTCAAAGCTTCATATAGTCCATCAGTTTGATGGAAACTCGTTGATCTTAGAAGCTCCACCCCATATATCTTGAATAGGTCCCTCCAGAAGGCATTAATGAAAATGGGGTTTCTGTTTGAAATTATTTGTTTATGCCAACTGTGTAATTTGACTACGTTGTCCATGAATACTTTAGCCACCTTAGCCGCACTTAGGGGATGTGCAAGAGCTATAAAATGTGCGTAGTCTATCAGTGACAATCAAAATCTCAGTCATACCATGTCCGTGTCTGATACCAATTATTAGGATTGAATCTACTCACTCTTCTCCTAACTAGATCACAACACATGCACACACCAATTCCCTCACAGAATTATTACACTGGACTTCCATGAGGAACCAAACACTAAAAGAAACTAGTGTTTTCTAATTACAAAATGATTATTTATAAGCTATTCCCACACTCCTAAGGACAATGATAAGATTATTTACAACACTTCCCAATTACATTTGTCCACCTACCTACCATACAAATAACGGAATTAACGACTAAATGGGAGCATACTAATCTACTTATAACAAAAACACTGATAAGATTTTAACTTGACTTAATTCTTCCAATTTGATTTTCAACTTCATCCAAGTCTTGGTTTAAATACTGAAATTACCGATAACTGATCAAAACTCGATTCCCTACTATATTGATTCTCATGTCACTCAGTTCGATTCAAGTAATTTCTCAATTAAATTCCAGAGAAAAAAAAAATGTCTTCAATCAATTTTGGAGATTTAGCCTCACAATTTAGCTTTATTTGTATACCTAACTAAGATTATAAAATATCCAATTCATGCATATTATGTCTCCAATGAATCAGTGAATGGCCACATTATAGAAAGCGTTTAACACTAGAATAAACACTCAAATAAATATAAGGTTTATAGAAAGCGTTTAACACCGGAATAAACACTCAAATAAATATAAGGTTATATTAAATATGAAAGTTCATTTACAACATATAAATCAATATACATAAAAAATATTAATTAGAGTCTAATTACTCATGATCCAAGGGAAGAAAACAAATTTAAAAGTACTATAATCTCCATAACTAATTTAAGGAATAAATGAAGATCAATACCACAAACTCCCAACAATTATCCCCCTTTATCCTAGGTAGCTAAATGAAAATACATGATCGTTGAACTCCCCTTTCTCCTGGCAAGATTGATGCACCACCTCTGATATGTAACAAATTGTCATAGGCAGTGGATAATAACTCAGAAAAGTAAGCTCTTGGAAAAGCATATTTTAAATCTTCGGCAAAAATTTAACCTAATCACAAATTCTCAATTTTAAAGTTGGAAAGAAACGGATTTTGAGAATGATAATGTGTTTGATTTTGGGAAAATGACCTGATTGCAAAAACTAAGTTCAGCATGGAATTTGGGCACTAATAATTTTAGGGTTTGTTTGGTGAGAGAAATTGTAGAAAAAAGAGAAGAACAGCGAGAGATAGTGATTTATTTTACCCTAAAATGCACTGAGAACATAGTTTATTGAGAAAACCTTTAACTTACTCTTCTAAAAATAAAATGTCATTTTGTAAAATATGGGTCAATAAATTGGTCTCTTAAGAATCTGAATGATCACGTAATTTTTTAAAAAATTTATCATTAAATTAGTCTTTTTATTACCACTTCAGTCTTTCATCAGAATCAATCTGATGAAATTTTATAATTTTTTTGTCAAAATTTTAATTTATCATAAAGTCAATATTTCTTTTTACTGTTTTAATCCTTTTTAAGGACTAATATAGTGTCACTTTAAAATTTTTATAGACTAATGTAATAATTAATTAAATATTTGAAAGATTAATTTGCTAATAAAATATTTAAAAGATCAATTTAGTAAGGATTTAAATCTTTAATTTAATGACCTAAATCTTTAAAAGACCTACTTGATAACATTTTTATATTTGAAAAAAAAATGGCATTTTTCTCTAGTTAATTCTCGCATTAAGAAGTTATTATTCATTTCAAGTGTTAATTTGAATAAAAATTAAGATAGAAAATATTTAGTTATTATGAATATGACAAATTAGTTTTTATCTTTTTTATTAGTTTTGATACACATATTTTAAAATTTTAAAAAGTAATTATAGAAAGATAAACTCATAAAAGAGTTGGTAATTTTTAGAATAAAAAAGGATACAAGTATTACTTCTTGAGAATCTAATAAGTCAAACTTACAAACTGAAACAAACTCCATCAATCTCTATATGTAACACAAAATGCTTTTTTAAATCAAAACATAGTTTCCTATTCATTTATTTGCTAACACTATAAATTTTTCTATCAAGTGATTTGTTATACAGTGATTTGTGATAAATAATATACGATTCATAACTGAGGGTACAAAGCATACAACTCTACTATAGTTGAGCAAGCTTATAAATCTTTATAGATAATACAGAATTTAAAATATGAAAATGCAAAGTGATAACAAAAATACTTTGTCTAGATAAAAATTTAAATTCAATTTCAGAAAATGAACTATTTGTACTAATTTTTAATTAGGTTTCACAGAATTATACTAAATTGTATTTCAGGAAAGTATCTATATTAAGGTGAATCAAAATTGAAACACATATAATTACACTATTGACACCAATTTTAGCCTTCTTCTGTATCCTTAACACCAATTTTAATCAAAGTTATGCTTACAATTACACCATTGTTGGGTAGAGAGGTACTCTCTTTTGGCACTCTCATGTCATAACAAGAACATTAAAAGTAGAAACTATCTATCTTTAAGATGTATTTTTTTTTCTCTAAATCAACTGCACTATCAACAAAACTTAAATTCTATTTTGTTTTAATTATAATATACTTGAGTTTTACTTTTTCCTTGGACTGAATGAACATTCCCATGCATCGTATGGTATTTACTATTACGTTACAATGAATTTGTAGTAATACAGTGTGCAAATTAAAAATTCATAATGCATATTTGTTCAAACAACTTGGGATAAACAAGAGATTAGGGTTTAATTAAGATTGTTTAGTAGAACTATAGAAATTTAAAGATTAGCAAACAGAAGAAAAAGCAAAAAAAGTAATGAATGATCGTGAATTGTTAATAGATTTTGTTGAGGTGAACCAAACCTTATTTAAAAAGTAGTTTGGTTCTTGAACTAACACACATAGAGGTTCGATTTTTTAATCAATAGTTCAATTCGATTTAACAATTTGGTTCAATTTTCAATAGTTCTTTGAAAAGGCTTATCCATACTTAGTGTGTTATAAGAATGAAATAAAGAATTACATGAATAAAAAATTTTAAAAATAAATTTAAGTAATTTCATTAATTATGATATATGTCCATATATTATTACAGTTTTATTAATTATTCGTCTTTATATAATTCCTAAACAAGTATTTTTAAGAGTTAATTTTCTTCTTTGTTTTGTGAATTCTCTTTATTGAGTATTTATTTATTTTATTCATTTTTATTTTTTAAAATTCTCTCTTTAATCTTATTTAATATAATATAATATAATTTTTATTATCAATAATTAAAATATTTAATCTTTTTAAAATTTAAAATAATTTACAATATAACTTCATTTTATTATTTAAAAGTTTTCTTTTAATTTAACAATATCCGTAGAATATATAAATTACATCTTATGATTTCTAATAAAAAAAATTATTTAACCATTGTTCTTAGGAAAATCAATTTCATTGTAATCTTTGCTTTCAATTTCTTTGTAATCTTAATCACTGAATTTTAACTGAGTGACTAACTCATTTTTCGTTTAAACGAAATCCCTTCCAGATAAGCTAAATCCATAGCGCTTCTCCTTTGGGCATTAACAGAGCGGGCCTATTAATGGATTAGAGAGAAGTGCAGGCATGTGATATCTAATAAGATATAATCTTTTTACGGTCATATTAGAAAATAGAAAATTTGTATCAAATGGTATACAATAAACATAATCATATTTATGACTATCTAAAAGCATGAAAGGATTCAACTTGGATCTAAGCATGCAAAAGCTATGATTAACAAAACAAAACACTGAACCCGGCTAAAATTGCATTTATCAGTGAAGCGAATAAAGTGAAAGTGCTAAAAAACAAGAAACTAAAAATATGCAAAGAGCACCTACACACTCCATACATATTCTGGTGCATCTTTCCTTTTCCCAGCCAATGTTCTATACAAGTACATCTTCTCTACTTTCTGTGCATCATCCACACCACAATCTAATAGTTCATTTTCATTAAAGATCTCCACATTTAGTCTTGGCATCTTTGCAGCCAGTGCCTTGCAGGCTCCGACAGTAACATCACACGACGACATCCAGAGGGATCGCATGGTTTCATACTTGTCTATGTCGTTCAGAAGTGCAATGTCACCAAAAGGGCAATCTCTTATCTCAAGCTTGCGAAGTTTGGCACATCCATTCAGCACATACAGCAATCCCTTGTCACTTTCTCCAGCAAATGCAATAGACAGCATTTCAAGCTGCTCGGCATACACCCCAATGTAAAGGAAAACTCGATCGGTCAGCCAGCCGGAGAGTGACAGCCGCCGGAGTCGCTTGCAAGACTGAACGATTGCACCAAAACCTTCGTCCAGTGGCTGCATTGTATGAGGATCAGGTTTTGTTGGTTCCAGGATACACAACCTAAAGCGGATGAAATTTGGGCAGTTCTTAGCCACGGTTATGAGCGCAGCATTTGTCATCTGCTGGCAGAAGTAGAGCAATGAGTGAAGTTTAGGGCAACCCATAGAGATTGCAACAAGTCCTTTTTCTGAGACCCCTATAGGGCCATTCCCACCGATAAGAACAGATGGAAAAACCCTTAGTTCTTGCAAATCTTTACATGTGGAAGCTACAACTCCTAGTCCTTTGTCTCCAATGCAATCCATTATCTGCACAAGTATTGAAATTATAGATGTTCACCAACATAAGAACATAAATATAAGGAAAGGGTTTAGGTTGGTATATTTACCCATAAATGCTGAAGTTTTCTGCAGTGGCGAATTATTTTTCTTAGCTCTCTGCTCAGAATCCCTGCTGCGTAGCTCAGATTCAAGGCTGTTAAGTTTGAGCAAATAGGATATATAGCTGAAAGGCAGTGTGGATTAACCTCAAAAAATCCTGACAAACTGGATATTGACTTGCACTTCAAAATGGTATTCTTTAACTTAATGAAGTCGTCAGAATCTGGATCATGGATAAATGACCCAATACCCAAGTCCACTAGCTGAGGTGCTAGCATCAATATCCTTTGGAGCGCACCAAGGGGCACAGTATGGTTTAACCTTAAACTCTTAAGGTTAGGAGATCTGGCCACAAGTCTCTCAAGAGCTCCCAGATTAATCTCCCCTTTAAGGCAATCAAATTTAAGAGAGACAAGTGATGTACACCAATCAGGAAAGCAGCTTAGCCACTGGCCTTTGTGGTCATCGACTTCATTTTCCTGCAAATCCAGCACCTTAAGAAACCTACATTTTACAAAAGAGAATTGAGGAGTCAAGACCACATGCCAAACAACCTGTAGGCCATTCTCGATCAAAATAATATGTCTGAAAACTGTCACCTCTACAGTAAAATCAAAGTATTTAAGGGGAGGTCAGTACTTTGCCAAGAAAAATTCTTAATCATAATCAATTCACAAATTGGCAATGAAGTTAAGTAAATATAGCGCAACAAAGCTTCAGATACTCTTAAGCACCAACTTGTAACCAAACAATGAAATGTTCGTAAGTAAACAGTTATGCATAAATACCATTCAATAACTTCATATCAGATTGAAAACAATCATCCAAACTAGTCCCACACTAGACTCAAGCAACTGAACCATTCTACATCAACTAGTCATAGTCAATGCAAGCCAATAATTAATAAACAATTACATGTCCCAAATCAAAATTTCACAGACACAGAGCTCTTCCAAAACCCAAACAACCGTAGACTATCAATTACACAAACTAAAGTACAAAACCCATATAGGGAACCAAAGCGCAAGAAAAAAATGGAAAAGCAACACTAATACATAAAATCATGGTGGTTTGGTAATTAACTTGAGTATGCATAGTTCAATAGATAAGATACTTTTAAGCACCAGCTTGTTAGTTAGCCATGACAAGTTGGTAAGTTATCAGCTATGCATAAATCCAAATCAATAATCTCATAATAGCAACAACAGAATATCCAACCAAGTTACTCATCTTACCTACAATTTGCAGCTATAGCTGCAAGACCAACGGTGGTGAACCCTTCACAGCCAACAAGAACCAACGACTTGAAATTCATAAAGCAAAGCGAAAGTAGCTCAAGGCTCTCATCGGTGACCACCATCCTCTTCAACATCAGTTCCTCTAAATCAACCCTACTCTTGGCCAGTGCTTCAATCCAAGGATACACAAAACCACCCCAACCAAGAGGAACCAGATTAAAATCCGCAAAATGAGGTTTTCCCTTCAAAGTTAAGGACTTTAACCGTGGAAACCTCTCTATCACTCTCTCAGGACTTGTGGAGTAACAGTTCCCTATTAACACACTCTTTCTACCGCATCTCTCTAACCTATACCAGCTTTTGCACACCAAAGACACAGCATTCCTGTCCCTATGCCAAGTCACATAGTTAAATATGTGCTCAATCACCTCATCGGGAAAACAATTCATCTCTCTCTCCCTTCTTCTTCCAATTTACCTGCTTCACCCTCTAACAAAAGGGTAAATGAGAAAACACTTGAAGATTCAACTTCCAATACATTACCATGATCTTACCATTGAGATTCTTTAAATAATAATAATAATAATAATAAAAGCTTTTAAAAAAAGCCTAAACGAGATTAATATGAAAAGAAGAAAAACAAAATCTTCAAATAAAATAAAGTAAGAGTAAAAGGGTATTCATAAAAATTGAAAATCTTACAATTCTCAGCAAGGATCCTCTCAGAGAGGAACCAGGGGAAAAGGGGAATAAAAGGCAGAAATTTTGTCAGAAAATAAAGTAAAAAAGATAGTGGGAAAGAAAAGCAAAACAGAAAATTATGACCTGCAAATCAAACGATGATGATTACATACGATAAAAAAAGGGTTAAAGAAAGTATAAAAATGACTGAATTTAAGAATCTGAAATAGTAATTGTAATTTTACATTGTTGACCTAACAGAGTAGCCTTAACCCAAGGCGAAAGTCAAGCATTAGAGAAGAGAACTAACGCTATAGTGAGTCACAGTCAAATTGTTAAAGTTGGAACCGAGTCAGCGTGCTCAAACCCCATTGGCTGAGGTAAACATAACCCGTGTTCGAGGCAAAGATAGCTTCGAATCTAACGGCTGACATCGGTTTTCACGTTGGAACAGCTGAACGGTTTAAAGTGTTTGCAAATTAGTTTAAGGTTGCCTTTACTCTTACATTTTAAAGTTGTTAAGAATTAATATTTAGTTGGAAATTGTTCCGGTGACTTATGATTAAATAATTATTATTGTTAATTTTATATTAATAAATAATTTATTTAAAAAATATTTATATTTTTAATTTTTAAAATATTATAAATTATAAATATAAATATAAATATAAATCTAAAAAAATATTAAATTTTAATATTCTTTTAAGTTAACCAATATTCTAAATTTTAGTAATCACTTTTTAAATTTCAAACATTTTAGTTTTAAAATTTAAAATTTTGATGTCAGTTCTATCATTTTTCTTTCTAAATTTATTAATAATAACAATTCTTTTATAAATTATATATTTTTCTATTAATTTATAATATTTAAGTGTAATATTTTTTTATAAATTTTAATTCAAAATAATCTAAAAACTTTGAGTCATCATTTTAAGAATAATTTAAATTTTTATGCATTTTATTCATAAAAAATTAGATTTTTAAAATAAAATAAATTTTAAATTTTAAATATGTCATTTGTTTCTAAAATTTTAAAATATTTTTTTAATACATAATTCGTATTAAAACAGAGTAACTTATAATTTACACATGAATCACTTTAAAATTGTACAAAATGAGTACGACCACTTAAAATTGCACAAAGTGAACATGGTCACTAAACAAAAACAAAATATAAGTTGTCCAAGTCTGTGCAATTTATGTTAACACATTTGTGCTTAAGTATGTTTAAGCTTTTTTTATTATTTTGTCTTAAATTTTGAAATAATATAACTTTTTGCACACATAACTATAATTTATATGTAAATTATATATTTATTTCATACGCAACATTTGCAACAACTTTATATATTCTTTGATAACTAACGAATCAAATAAAAAGCTCAATGATATTTTTAAAAATAATATAATTTTTTTAATATTAGTCGTTAAATAATTGATGTAAGAAATACCTTTTAGATTAATATAAATTTGAATTGATATAAAATTTATGACTTTTTACATGAGTTATTTTTTTAATGATAAAAAATACATCAATTAAATCTTAATTAATATAAAGCTACACCTAAAATATCCTAGTATTACCCAATCATGCATAAAAAAGAACCAAATCAAAATATACTTGTTTCCTAAAAACATTAAGAAATACAAAAAAGAAAAAGAAAAAATGCACAAAACATTGAAATTTTGAGAAAAAAAATTTGCTTTAAATTTGAGAATTTGGTTAAATAAATCTCAAAAAATTATATAAAATACATATAATTTGCATTAACCAAAGTTATGTGCAAAAATTATGACCCTTAAAGGTTTAAGATAAAAAATTTAGCATACATGTGTTAACTTGGACACGCTTTATACTCTAAGTCACACCAACCTTAAGTGACTTATGTTTTATATATAGAGAAACATGCCTGTACTAACTTGAATATGCCATGTGTTATAACATCCCATTTTCATGAATTTTGAATTAAATCAATAATTATTATTTAATATTAATTTAATAAAGGGTTAAGAAGTATAAAAAGATTATTTTAAGAATTAAATAAAGATCAAATAATAACTAATAAGATCATGAGTGATATTAAATTATGTCTAAGGCACACTGAAATAAGGATTTACTAAAAAGGTATTGAGATATAATTATTAGGGACAAGTTAATTGAAAGATACTATTATTGTAAAAAGACCATAAAATGATTAGTTAAATTAATCTCAAAGGATATGAAATGCAGTCATATAAATCTTTGTTACAGTGTGAAGAATAATAGATTCTTCTATGCTTCAGTTGTAGTTAATTGATTAGAAAACTTGTAAGTATTGGAACCATGTTTGATTAGGCTAAATAAAGAACATATAAGGAATAAGGAATGATTAAACAACAAGCCTTAAATGCTAAGACAAAAACAAAGAGCATAAAACCTTAAAAATAAGTCATTTTGACGTGAAATAATGGTCAAGGTTGGCTAAGTTAGATTTAGTTAATTAATTAGGAAACTTATAAATGTTGAAACTATGAGGCTAATTAAGGAACTATAAGGAACAATGAATGATTAAACAACAAGCTTAAAATGCTAAGACAAAATTAAGAGCATCAAGCCTTAAAAATAAGTTATTTTGACAACAACAATTCTAGATCAATTGAACATGAAAATTTGGCTTGATGTGGAACGTCCAAAATTGAATGCAAATACATTTCCAAGTGAATAGATAAGAGCCAAGTACAAGCCTTTAATTTGGAATAGAAATTCAACCATGAACAACCAATATGGATCAAGCCTTGTACAACACAAAAGATGGGAAATTTATGAAGGAATCTTGACTAAAATCAAGATGTTATCTCATGCTTATTAAAACCTTGAATTGTGACTATAAGGGTTCTAATTCAACTAGTATTTATGGCAATTGTGTGTAAGGAAATTGAACCAAATAAACCAATACAGGAAAGACTAACTAAATGGAATTAACTAGTTAACAAACTAAGTCAAAATTAATCATTAAAGAGAAAGATAAGGATTTGGAATTTAAAAGAAGCATTTATGTATGATAGCTAGCCAATAAATTAAACTCATACGTTCACATTGGTACAACGTGACTGTAAGCCTATTTACCACACATCACTAGAGCTGTCAAAACGGACAGCGCAGCCTAACCCGACCTGACCCGATAGGGTAACGGGCTCAAACGGGTTGGGCTTAATTAGCCCAAGATAAAAATGAGCTTATATTTTTCCTGCCTAAGCCTTACCCTATGCGGGCTACGGGCTTTTATGGGCAGGCCCGACAACTTGAATAATTTTTTTTTCTTTTTCTTATTTTTATAACATGTCTTTTTTTTATTATTTTTATAACAACAAATCATTATTTTAATTGCTGTTTTTAGTGTTTGTAACAGGCTATTTTAAGCTATTTTTACAAAAGCTTAATAAACCACTCATTTTTTTTTGTCCAATTTTTATATTAGACCATTTATTTGGTATTTTTTAAATGTAAAAAGTCACTAGTTTATTTTTTTTATTGCTTTTGTAACAGCCAATTTTTATTTTTATACACACAATAAGTCCACAAAAATATAAATAAGTTCATATAATTAAACAAATTTCTTACGACAAAAAGTCAATACACATAAAAAGTCCACAAAACATAAAACAAGTTCACAAAGATTAAAAAAGTCCATCAAAGATTTAATTATCAAAATTTAAGAACATGAAACTTCTTTAGAAAGCTTAGAATCATCAAGAGTAATGGTCTCTTTTCCATTAACATATATTTTAGGGTTTTGAAACTAAAATATATTCCCTTTCAAACTCCTTAAAACTCGAAATTTAATCTCAATATATATATATACGGGCTGCCCGAACTCGCATGGGCCAACCCGGTTAAAGCCCTATTGGGCATCGGGTTTATTTGGACTGGGCCAAAATAGCCCAAGGTAATTTCGGATCTTTTTTTTATAGTTCAAATCTGTCCATTTAACGAATTTTTTTGGCCCAATCTATCAGGCCGACCCATTTTGCTGGCTCTACACATCGCTAATAATAGTGAACAAAAATGACATCCCTTTTTATATCCCAAAATTCACGTCATTTTGAGAAGCAAACGTAGGAAGTCATGAATTATTTCACTAAATCAACAAAACCTGAGACGTCCCTCTTAGAAGACAATCTCATTGTATAAAAAGATGAACTATGAATATTTTTACAGTAAACATGTAACACCCTCTTTTTCATTATTTGATAAATGAATACTTTGTTTGATATTAAGTAGTATTAGAATGCATTTAGAAGTGAATTATGAGGGGTTTTTGGAAGAAGTCTAGTGTAAGGGGTCTCGCTCAAGTGAGATTAAATGCCCAAAACTACAAGGTTTCAGGGCAATCTTGCTTAAGCAAAATAGGATAAATTTAGTCTAACTGTCACCTTACCTAGAAGAGAAGTGTTCTTGCTCAAGTGAGCAGTGATCTCGTCCAGGCGAGCTCGACCTCGTTCAAGCAAGCATATCAGGAAATGCTTGGCAAGGCTACTGTCTGGTGTTCTCACTCAAGCGAGCTATACCTCGCTCAGGCAAGTTGTTTGTCGCTCAAGCGTGAGCGTGCGGGGCTAAAGGGTATTTAAGAGATTTCTAACATGAAAATTTCATTTCATTCCAAACCTCACGTTCCCTTCTCATTCTCTCTAAACTCTTACTTCCTTTACTCAGATAAAACTCCTTTAAACTCAGGTTATTCTTTAAATTCGAGCTTGGACGTTGAATCTAAACGACTCTAAGTAAGTTCCTCTGGATTAAACTTCGTTTTCTCCTATTATTTTTTGTATTTTCCCTTTCTCATGGATACCTCTTGATACTCAGGAAAAATTCTGTGGTTGAACTCAAATCTTTATCAAAATCTCTCCACAAACTCCGATCGAGGTAAAGAGAGCTCTATTTTATCGTTCTATTAAAATGTTTATTTTGTTCTCATTGGAGCACTATTATATAAGAATTTTTATGAAAGTATATGTTTGAAATATATTATGCATGAATGATAGCTGAGAATATGCATGTTGGATTGTTTAAATTAATTGGCTGTGATATATTCACATGAAATATGTGATGAGTGATCATGATGTGATAACATGAAATATGTATATGAGTAGTTGTAGTTGTG